AACACTTTGAAATTCCATGGACCTTCACTGGAAGACGTGAAAATTCTGCTTAAAATGAAGGCTAACCCTGAGTAAAGTCTTTAGCTAACAAAATGGGATAAAAGTTCATATTTGGTAACGGTATTTGTTTGTTTGTCCAAAGGCAAAATAAAKCATAGGAAAAAAAGGTAAAGCTAGCAAAGTTAAATATTTGTAAAATTCAAGTGTATTTGTTAGATAGAGGAATGCTTCACTTGCAAACTTTTTGTATTTTTTTTTCTTTTTAGAAAGACAAAGAGAAAAAAGTTAGCGAATGACATAGTCGTCATTAGCCATGAAATGGTATGTCGTCAACGGTTTAGAAATATCTTATTCTCATTATAAGAACTTATTTATGATGTTGYTTTATGTAAAATCCTCGAAGCACAGGAGAGAAACAACAAGAAGTAACTCTGCTCACATACGACCACAAGTCCGGGAATCGTCCGCAGATTACATGGGTAACAGGCGGCGCATTAGCACATCACACGTAGCCTCCCGCACATCACTCGTACCTCACGCACACCACACGTACCTCACGCACACCACACGTTCCTCACGCACACCATCCGCACCTCACGCACACCACACGTACACGCACACCATCCGTGCCTCCCGCACATTACCCACCGTACACCCCGCACACCACCACACGTACCTCCCGCACATTACACGTACCAAAGTCACATCACACATACCTCACGCACACCACTACACGTACCTCCCGCACACCACCACACGTACTTCTAGCACACCAGCCATGAAATGTAAACTTGTTTGTAACGCATTTCAGTACAAGGAACCAAGCACCTTTACCTTGGATAGAGATACAAACGAAGTGGCAGAGGAACTGGCACCTTTTACGAAGTTTGAAGTTACTTGTACGTTGCATAACACTGATGTACCTTCTATGAAGACATTTGGCCAACGAAATAACAGCGTTACATCATCGAACAGAAATCGTAAGTCGTATGTCGCACACGTAAGTTGCATATATCGTAGGTCGCATATCGTAAATCGTCGCAAATGGGTACTTCTTATAACTCTGAAAGACATCCACTCCACATTAAACAATTATTTCTTCATTCTACGAATGTTAACAACAGATGGCTTCCCGCCTCAAGGAATGCTAATAAAACTTCCACACTCGACAACCGGTGTACTTCCTCCACTCTAAAAACGAACTCGAAGGACTCGAAACTCGAATTGGACTTAGAAAACCGGCCGACATATCAAGCTTTACTCTATATGTTAGTGTAGAAGTTGGAGTAGAGAAAGCTCACTCTATATATGGTATGATCAATTCCATATTTGGATTGTGCGGAAAAGCGGCAAACAAAAAGGCCGTCGTTTTATAACGAATTCGACATGAACATTTTTGAAGAAAAGAAAAAAAAGACAAGTAAAAAAGAAAAACTTTTGGAAAATCGAGGAAGGATACGGGGACGATGCTAACTCGTGGGTCTGCCTCGCAGACAGCAGACACAGGGAAACACGTACTACACTCAATGTTTGATATGCGTTCTAGTTTTAATATCAATATACATTATGAAATTTCAAGAGGTGTGCTTGTACTTACATCAGTGTTGTCTTTCTTTCAATGATCCAGAAGATCCTACTGATAATGACATTGAAGGTGGCGTCCACATTTACCAGGACATTGACCAACCACAAGGTCCCGCTCTACCACCGCGAAACTCTATCAAAAACAGACAGGAATCGAGCAAACGAAATAAGTCTTCATTACGAAAGTCTTCCMCTGGCAATGAAACAAATATGARGTCAAGTAAAAAATATCGTAGGGAAGATTCTAGTGSCGGGAAAACGAGTTCAACAAGAGAGATAGTTCAAAATGAGCACAGAGGCGAAACAGCGAAAGGAGGCGAAGGAACAACACGTAAAGGAAATCAAGACAAGTCTTCTCCTATCTATGCTAATAAAGATTGCGATTCTAGTGGAAGGATATCGAGTAAAGGTTGCAAGACTACGAGTTCTTCGACGTCTTGTYCATCTGAATCAGATTGGGAGGTATCTCCAGAGAGTGTTCATCTGTGTGATAGAATAGGAGCTGGTTCGTTTGGTCAGGTGTGGCAGGGATTGATTGGAGGCAAACCTGCTGCTGTTAAGATGTTAAACGGTACGTAAACATTTAGGTAAAACTCACCAGTTTTGAGAGATTACTGTGGAACAGAAGAGACCACCGATTGCTATTGTTCA